CGGAACCGTCGGCGAGTGCCTCGAGGACGAGGACGAGGAGTTCGCGTTGGAATCGGAGTCGACTCGCCGCATCCTGACCAGCAGGCGGTACATCAGCTACGGCGCGCTGCAGAGGAACAGCGTCCCTTGCTCGCGGCGCGGCGCGTCGTACTACAACTGTCGGCCGGGGGCGCAGGCCAACCCCTACCGCCGAGGCTGCAGCACCATCACTCGGTGCAGACGCTGAGTGGAATCGGTCTCTGCCCTACCTGCCCCAAGTATTAAATACTTATGTATTCTTTTTTTTTTTCTCAACTCTATTATTTTTTTCTTTTATTTTATTTTATTTTTCTTTGCTTGGATAGAGAGAACTTGTGTTTGGTACAGCAGTAAATAATTATTGAAGACGCGGTTTGCTCATGTTATTTTTGTCGGTTCCTTTTATTCTTTTTTCTTTTTTCTTTTTCTTTTTTTTTTTATTTTTGAGAATTTTTTATTTGTTGTGTAACAATGATAATAATAATAATAATAGTAATAATAATAATAATAATAATAATAATACATAACTAATATATACATAACTAATATATTTCGATGAATTATTTTGCTTAATTGGACTCAAATATACATTCCTCTTATTTATTTCTTTCTGTTTGGGTAAAATTTAGTAAAATTGAATACTCACTGTAACAACAAATTCTATGAAAAACATAAAACTTTTGTACAACTTGAATATATTTCGATCAAATGATATTGCAGGTACAATCTCTATTTATCTCCTCTGATTCTTCTCTTCATGAATTTGGGATTGAGACCTTCAAAGATGGATTTGACGAATGAATCTCCTTCGGGCTTGGTTTTGAATTTCTCTAACATTAATTTGGGGGTCGAATGACGTATTCCCGTATTAAATGTTAGGCCTTGACTTGATTGAATATGACTTCTTGGAAGACTTGATTCTATGATCTTCTTGAAAGAGGGACTCTGACTTGAATAACGTTGATTCGTGGGCTTGATAGCTTTTTCTCGGATCAAACGCTATGTTGGTTGAACTTCTCAACGAACGCGGCTTGAATGTCGCTTGAACGTCGTTGATATTCTTGGATTGGCTTGAGAAGCGTGAAAGTCGTCTCTTTAATTCTTGAGAAAGACCCGCCGCCTCTTTTTCTTCTTCTTGGCCTTCTTCTTCATTAAATGGACTTCGGACGGTTCTTCAAGAACTTCTTCAAATCTTCAAGAGGGTTCTTGAGAACTCTTGAATTTGAGACTTTAATATTTGAGATGTGTTTGATATTTTTGAGGTGTTTGAGGTGTGATTTGTGGCATTGAGGAGAGCCCTATTTAGAGGTGTAGGAGAGAGAGGTCTTGGAGAAGAAGACTTCAATTTGATTGGACCTTCATGATTTGACATAATCTCTATCATTCTCCTAAGATTTGATATAATCTCTTTCCTTATCCTAAGATTTGACTTGGTGGACAAGAAATAATTAATTTAATAATTAAATATCTTATTTATCTTATATTTATGTCCCAAAATAAATAAAGACATTAATTAATAAAATATTAAAATTTCGATGTCTACACTCACAAAATGTACTACTATTATTCGATCTTATGTGCATGCATAAATATAAATAAAATATTATAAGTTAATATATGTATCTAAATTATAAGTTATGTAATGATATAATATTTTTAATATTCAACATTAGTAAATATAATTAAGATTGTGTTCAAGTGAGAATGATTCTGAATAAAATAAATAAGAAGGAGAATCTAATCAGAATAAGGAATCTAATAAAGATGGATAAATTTCGAGCAGCCAGACGATTATGGGCAAGCTGGGCAAGCTGACCGGGGCAAACAAACATTGGGAACCAAGGTATTCCCTATAAAAGCCACTGGGGCTAGCCCAGTTGGTAGGGGGCATTGCCTCCTTGCTAGAGATCCAGGGTTCGATTCTTGGG